TAGGGAAAATATTTCAAACTTCTTCAAGCCGGCTCAGGTATTTCAAACTTTTTAAAAATTTAAATTAGCTTTAAATTTTAAATTTATAAAAATGGAAGTGTTTTGGGAAAAATGAAAAAACTGAAAGAGACACTGTTTTAAAAACATTTTGTACCATAATTTTTGGGACTAGGACAAAGAACGTTTTAAAACAATCAACACAATAACGTAAAATAAAATTAATAAAAAAAAGAGTATCAAATAACTAATGAAGTAACGAAAAAATGATAGGTTTGAGCGAAATACTAATCTATGACCATTGACCGGTGGACGCTGCGCAGTTGGCAAAGGAAAAAATGTCAAGGGAGTAGACCCAAGTTCGGTTCTTAAAAACTGCGCTAAGATGAAACGATGTTTTACATAGGACTTCTGCAATTACCGGGAACAAGTTCCACTCTCTACAACTAATCTGTGATTAAAGTCCAATTTATTTTCTCTTAGTGATCGTCTGGCTGAGTGGGAGAGGCTTCTCGGGGACGATGCTCATCTTTTATTAAAAGAGATAATGGTAGACATGAATCTTGATCACGTTGTTCCATTATGAACATTCTCGTATTGTATTTATAATGGCTTGTTTCGTTTGGTTCGATAAATTTTTGTTCCAAACATGTTCCGTAACAATTTTAAATGAAACAGGAATGGGACTAATAATTTTGTCCAGTTCCGTCCCGTTTATATAAATACTCTCTCCGTCCCTAAATATTTGTCACACTCCTATTACCGAGGTAAAATATTAAGTTTTTTCAATTCATTTTTTTACATATTGGTATAGAAATAAAAAATAAAATTTACATATCAAAAAACTACATGAAAAGTTTTTCGAAATAAGAGGTGTCGAGATTATTTTATTTTATCAAATAACCAATGAAAACGTAGAAATAAATAAAAGTTCCCACGATTGCTAAAAAAGCAAGTGTGAGAAATAGGACGAAGGGAGTAAATAAAGGGACGAAGCAAGTGTGAGAAATATTTTAGGACGAAAAAAATATATATTTTGTTGTATAAATGAAATAACAGAAAAGAACTTCATACCTTTTATTTATCTCAGAACACACATGCATTGATGTCTAGACTTAAATATTCATGTGCATTATGTGTTTGTCCAACCTTATAAAATTTGTAAACTAAAATATTACTTTGTTTTTAATGTTTGTAAGCGTTTTTACTCCACTTTATTTGAGAATTTGTTGCAGATGTTTGCAAACTATTTGATTGAGTTTACACATTACAAATTGTTATGTTTTTATTCGATAAACAGCTTAAATGAATACATCTCAGACCATTCTGAGTCCCGACCCCAAAAGTGATGCGACAACGGCAACATAATGTGGTCACAGATAACTAGATTGAGTAATGAGAAACTTGGATTAAATCACATTAAAAAATTGAATCCAATCAATTAATTAGTTCAACTCAAGAGCTTATATGTCGATTAATTTATTCACACTTTTCCAATGTGAGATGTCTTTAAGAGACTCATAAATAATAGTGAGAGAAAAAGAATGGCTAAAATTGCTCTAACAGGTTGTATGGGCAGTATGTGGACAGTGGTAGACTCGGAGTATTTTTTTAATGGGAAAATCGTCAAAATTCTAACGCCATCTAATGCAACGACGGTAACGGAATCTTTTCCGTCAAAAACGGTAACGGCGCACGGAGGTATAAGGTGATGATGATGGGTTGGGTCAGGTAGAAATACAAAATGGTCCTCACCTAAGGTGGGCCCTCTCACTAAATGGGAAAAGTGTGGACCCACTACGTTAAAAACTCCCCGTTCCCTTTTCATATTAACCAATAATATTTCTTAATTATTATACTCCCAAAAATATGTCACGGTTACTATTTAGGTATATCGATAATTTTTACTACATTCGTGTCAAAAAGATTTACATGTTTTGACTAAAGTTGAAATTAAGGGAGGGATAATTTTGTGTTGACTTTCCAAAAATACCCTTGATATGATGGGTAATGTAGAATGCGATGTGTAGATTATTAGGAAAAAAGGTATGATGTGATAGATAGGGTTTGAAAAAGTAAGGGGTAAAAGAGATTTTTTAATAGAAATGGGTAGGAGATTGTGAGACGCAATTTTTTTGAAAGGTGTAAATCTTTTTGGGACGGAGGGAGTATTTGTTTATTTGTTTGGATTGATCATTTGATAAAATAAAATATTCTTCTCGCATCTTGTTTTGTAGACTTTTGATATACTTTTGAACAATGTAATTTTTTTCTTTTTATTCCTATACCAATTTGTAAATAAAATAAATTTAAAAGAAATGATATTTTGCACATTTTTTAAAATGTTATGAACAATTTGGGACGGGAGCATTAAAAATAATATATTAAAATATTTTTTAATGGTAAAAATTTGTAATAATCTTTATATTTTAGCTCATTGCATCTTTTATATATAGTGAGTCAAATATTTGACACGTAAATCAAATTGGACACTTTAAAAAGAGTGCAGTGAATACTACTATAAGCTCGGTGTCACAATTCACAAGATACCACCTTTTTTAGACCATCTCTAACCATCTATTCTAAACTAAAATTTATTATTTACCGTAAATATCAAATTAAATAATGATTTATCTACAATATATAACACAAACACAAACTCAAAAACACATTTTCATACTATTTACAGCTTCACTATTAAGAATTTGAAAATTTAAAAATAAATCAATTATCTAAGTTACACAAAAAATGAACAACCAAAGCAACAAAAAATAAATCTCCCCCAACCGCACAATTAAAAAATAGAAAAAAGAAATAAAAATAAACATAGTACTCTACAAAGATTGTGTTTGGAAAACAGGTTTTCAGAAAACATTTGCCCTCTTTAAGGGGGTGTTTGTTTTTCTGCCAGAAGACCTTCTGGCGTCTTTTGTCTGCGCCGCGCAGACGCGCACAGATGATGGACTCTGCAGATTGTTTGTTTTTTGGAAGACATTTCACTCAAAAAGGTCTTCCTGGCATCTTCTTGGAGAAGACATTAACCAATGTCTTCTAACATCTTCTCCTTTTTTTCTACTTCTTTTCACCACCACAACCGTCCACCACCACCACCACCGTCCACCGTCACCGTCCATCACCATCGTCATCCACCACCACCGCCACCGTCCACCACCACCGCCGTCAACGTCCACCACCACCACAATCGTCCATACACCACCACCGTACACTACCACCATTAATTTATATAGCAGTTTACAGACATTAAAAAACAAACAGTCTTCTTCTTGCAGACCGCAGACCTTCGGTCTACCACTTCTCCTGCAGATGTCTACAGTAGTGGTTCGCAGACCACAGACCTTTTCCTGCAGAAAAAACAAACACCCCCTAAGTGATTTTGACTTTTTTGACTAAGCCAACAGTCAAAATCATTATTTGGTTAATGACTTTTTTTCTTGTTGTTTGATTTGAAAAGACAAAATCTGAAAAGTCAAAAAGAATGACTTTTGGACTTGGCTGATAAGATAATTAATTTTTTAATCATTTTTTTTGAAAAATATTCAATAATATATTTTAAAAAAATAAACTTAAAAAAAAATAAAAATTAAAAAGTAAAAAAATTAAAATTTTAAAAATTAAAAAAATGAAATGAGAAATAAAAGGTAAAAATCATTAAAAGGTATCAACACACTAAAATGAAATGAAATTAAAAAAATCAAAAGAAAAAAATCATTAAAAAGTAAAAATTATAAAAAATAAAAAATGAAAACGAGAAAATTAAAAAACGAGAATAAATATAGCAACAGAATAAAAAAAATCAAAGTTCTCAATAAATTAAATCAAATTGAATGAATATGGAGTATATTATATTTTTATTGAATTGAGATTAAAAAACACATGAGCCTAAAATTTGGCAATTTTTTATTTCGGCCCGGTTCTGTGACCACTGGATTTTTGTGGCCATAGTTCACAGAAGCCACTGTCACGATTCAGACACCTATGATGCTCCGTTCGTAAATTTGATGATTTCTACCTCTCCTAATCGACTGCTTAGTCTTTAGAGCATCTCCAATCATATCATTTTAACTAGTTAAAAGTTATAATATAACTAGTTAAACACTTTTGTTCTTCTCCAAAGGGCATGCTTTATTTTAGCAAGTTTGCCAAAAAATAACTTTGGTTTGTTAAATATGACAAGTCCCTCAAAATTTAACTAGCCAATACTTAAAAATTAAAATGACAAATTATGGTTGGAGAATAAAGCAAAAAAGTGCTTGCTATAACACTATTCATTAGCTATAATGTAAAAATAGCAAATTAAAACAAGAAGCTTGGTTGGAGATGCTCTTACCCCAACTCAACCCTTCACTTACGTTTATTGCACTTTACAATTTTAGTTGATTTTGAGGGTAAAACTTTAGATTTCAAAATCAATTATATTTGCGCGGTGCAATTGACATAATTAACGTAGCTAGGGATGCTGAGTTGGGGTTGTGATTGGGCAGAAGGGTTTACTGAGGGGTTAAAAAGGATAAGAATAATTAATTTTACGAACGGGGCATCAAAACAAAGCATTTTAGGGAGATAGTGACTTCCGAGGCCATTGAAATCCAGTGACCACCGCACCCAATTGATTTTTATTTTCACAAAACTCATGAAAGTGGACCATTTTTTTATCTCTAGAGGGTAAAATAAAGATAAGGTCAAATAGGGTGGGAATGTGGGATTTTGTTTTTACCATAAAAAACTGACCTACAGCCCATGGCAAGGGCGGTATACCCGAATATCAGAGTAGCATATCCCCAGAGTAGGTATCTTTTCCCTTTTAACCTTTTTTACCCGGAACGGTAGATCGTACCAGCAAAACGGTAGATCGAACCAGATGGTAAAATCTGAACCGTTGATTTGAATCTCGAGCTCTCCCCACGACGCGTGTCACTCTCGATGCCTATCCCTACCCACACCCATCTTCTTCCGTATCTATATTTAGCGATAGAGAGTGGCATAGTCACACTCGCACTCTCTGTAACTGCGCCGTCTGCCTATATATTCTTTCTCTCTTCTTGCGCCGATTAGGGTTTGGGGGTCGCTAGATCTTCTTCTTCTCTTGGAGTCCTTCCAATTCTCAGGTACCATGGCTGTGATCTTGCTTCGCTTATCTTTTTTTTCTTGGGTTTCTTGTTTGGGTTTGAAAAGAAAAGAGATTTCTTGGTTGGGTTTGAAACATGGGGGTTGGATTTGGGGTTCTGGGTTTCGACCATGGATTTTTATGGCTCGGGTTTTCTTGTTTTTTTAAGTCGTGGGTGTTTTTTTTGTTGTTTTTGGAAGCTTTTGTGGGTTTATGTGGGAATGGTATGTACTCTGTGTGATGTAAGGTCTGTTCTTTTGCTTGCATGTTTGCTTTTCTTTGATAATGGTTCGTGTTTTGGTCATTCAAGATGAAACGCATGATTTTTTCTGTGTTATGGAAACAAAATGGTAAAAAAATAAATCTTTTGCTCTGTAAGAAAATCCCCATTATTTTTCGGATTTTGTGTTGAGATTTTTTGATGTAAAGCTGCAATCTCAAATGTCAGGCCTTCGTCATGAATATATGTTTTTTTCTCTTCTGCGTTTATTGATACTCCGTATCTATTTATGGCCACTGTAACAATGACTTTTTTATTTCTTTTTTCTTATTTTCTTATTTTCTCTTTTTATCTGCTGGATGTTTTTCTTCTAGAGCAAAGACCCGAGATTTCTACCATTTGATAACGAGTAGTCTATTACTTATTTAAATGTAAGGTTTGTGGTCGATCGATCTATGCATGTTTGGTGTATTTGTGTGCCTAGGGTTTCTTAGATTTGGGGCTTTTTCCTCTATTATATAACACCAGAAGAGCAACATGCATGTCACTGGCTTTTTGCTATGTTTCTTGAAACAGTCAAACTGCATTGCCATTCTTTTGATATGCTTTGGGCTATATGATTTACTCTTATTTTTTTGATGCATGTGAGATTTTGAGCTTTCCTGCTGTTCAATTTTAGTTTTCACAAAATGTAGTGATTATATGACTTATTTTCTGTTTCAAGTGATATGTGTGGTCTAATACTATTGTTGTCTTGAAGATCCTTGTGATGTCTGGGGAAAATGGCAATGGAGCCGTGGAGGATCTGCCCCCTCCTCCACCTGTTCCTGTGGATTTCACCCCTGCTAAAGTTGAACCCGAACCAGTGAAGAAAAAGTCAAACCGTCTCCCCATGGCTCGACGTGGATTTGGCAGCAAGGGTCAGCGAATTCCTATCCTCACCAACCACTTCAAAGTGAACTTGGCCAAAGTCGAGGGGGAGTTTTACCAGTACAGTGTATGTTCTCCGGTGTATTTGGCGTGTTTTCATTCTTACTGTTTTATCTTGCATGGATTCATCCTCAGTGCGTGTACAGGTTGCTCTGTTTTATGAGGATGGTAGCCCTGTTGATGGAAAGGGCATAGGTAGGAAAGTTCTTGACAGAGTGCATGAAACTTATGATACTGAGTTGGCTGGAAGGCACTTTGCCTATGATGGTGAGAAGAGCTTGTTCACTGTTGGTGCTCTTCCTAGAAACAAGCTTGAATTCACTGTTGTTCTTGAGGAAGTGACTTCTAACAGGTTGGTCTCCTAAAGATTGTGGCACATGTGGCACAGGGAAAGAAATTATGGGGAAATTTGTTTTTGATAATTGATTTAACTCATTTTTAGTTATATGTAGTATCTTTCTATTATATGAATACTAAGAGTTCTCAGAAAATATTCTCAATCATGTATAAAAACAAAGAAAGGGAAATACGGAGTAATAACTTTTCCTCTTCTTTATTGGTTATTAGTTCACTACATGAATGTAGACTTAATTACTGTCTTGTTCATTTGTTGTTTGTTTGTTTAGGAACAATGGTAATCGCAGTCCTGAAGAACCAAATGACAGTGACAGGAAGAGGATGAGGCGTCCTTACCATTCAAAGACGTACAAGGTTGAGATCAGCTATGCTACCAAGATCCCAATGCAGGCAATTGCAAATGCCTTGCGCGGTCAAGAGTCAGAGAACTCCCAGGAAGCTCTTAGGGTTTTGGATATCATCCTGAGACAACATGCTGCCAAACAGTAAGGCTATCTTTGGATGATGGACTGTTTGGGTTGCACTCTATGATGACTGTAATTAACCCATTTTTAATTCCTTCTTCTCAGGGGGTGCTTGCTGGTCCGGCAGTCATTCTTCCATAATGACCCAAAGAACTTTGCTGATGTTGGAGGCGGTGTTCTTGGATGCAGAGGGTTCCATTCCAGTTTTCGGACTGTACAAGATGGCTTGTCTCTGAACATTGGTATTACACTCAGCAATCAGCATGCCTTACTAATTATGTGTCTCTATTAATGACTAATGATTAAGGACATTGCAGTTAATTTCATTTGTTGATAAATGATGTGTCTCTCTATCAATCAATTCAATACAGATGTGTCCACTACTATGATAATTCAACCTGGTCCTGTGGTGGATTTCCTGATTGCCAATCAAAATGCAAAGGACCCATTTAGCCTTGATTGGGCAAAGGTAGCTTGACTCATAACTCTATAATTTACTAACTGCAGATGTGTCTACTACATTGACAATTCAATCTGGACCTCATTTGCAAATGCATTTTACTTGATCAGGCTAAGAGAACATTGAAAAATTTGAGAGTGAAGACCAGTCCCACAAATCAAGAGTATAAAATAACTGGGTTGAGTGAAAAAAGTTGCAGGGAGCAGTTGTATGTTCTTATTCTCACTGCTTTTGCACTTCTGAACTTGATTTTATATCCTGATGGGTTTTCTAAGTTTTCTCTTTTCCATTCTTTTTTATCTTAGATTTTCTCTGAAGCAAAAGAGCAAGGACAATGATGGTGGTGACCAGACGGTTGAAGTGACTGTTTATGACTACTTCGTCAATCATAGAAACATAGATCTCCGTTATTCTGCTGAGCTACCATGTATCAACGTTGGAAAGCCTAAGCGGCCTACATTCTTCCCTATTGAGGTAAATCAATATTTTATCTATTTGAATTCTTGGGCATAATGATTTCAGCTAAGGTCAATTGCATGAATTATGATTCTACTCTATTTTTTTCAGCTGTGTACTTTGGTGTCATTGCAACGTTACACAAAAGCATTGAATACCTTCCAAAGGTCTTCACTTGTGGAGAAATCAAGGCAGAAGCCTCAGGAGAGGATGCAAGTTTTAAGCAATGTATGCATAATGTATTATTACTCTATAAAGCTAACATTTTCGTTTTGGAGGGAAGTCTGTGGAGCTTATGCTTATAAGTACAATCTCGATGACATTTGATTTATTTTATTTATCAAATCATTCTTAATTATTAACTACCTATCATCCTTGATGCATTTTTTACTTTACCAGGCACTGAAAATAAACAATTATGATGCGGAGCCACTCCTTCGATCATGCGGTGTATCGATTGGCAGTAACTTCACCCAGATTGAGGGACGTGTTCTGCCTTCCCCAAAGGCAAGAATTCATAGTAGCATCTTGAAAGTTCCAATTGTTAAGCATTGAAGATGTTTATCTGGGTTTTTTTATTATATTTTTTATTGTACAGCTCAAAGTTGGCAATGGGGAGGATTTCTTCCCAAGGAATGGAAGGTGGAATTTTAACAACAAGGCAAGTGTTAGAGTCTTAAATACTTAACTGGGATCTGTTTTGAAGGCACGGAGGATTGCATTGTGATAATTGAGTTTTACCGTTGGCCAATTTTAATTGGAATATCTTATTTGGATGTACAGAGACTTGTTGATCCGTGTAAGATTGAGCGTTGGGCTGTGGTTAATTTCTCTGCACGATGTGATGTTCGGGGACTTATCAGCAACTTGATCAAGTGTGGAGAAATGAAAGGAATTGTATGTTCTTCAATATTTGTGTTTTACCGAGCTACTCTATTATTTTCCAATTCATTTCTTTTTTAACTTTATCCTTTATTTTCAAGATTGTCGAACCCCCATTCGATGTGTTTGAAGAAAATGGCCAGTTCAGAAGGGTTCCACCAGTGGTCCGAGTGGAAAAAATGTTTGAATCTGTGCAATCCAAGCTCCCTGGGGCACCCAAGTTTCTGCTTTGCATTCTCCCAGAGAGAAAGAACTGTGATGTATATGGTTAGTTCCATTGACAATTTTTCTCTTATGCTTTGTGATTCACTGGCCTTACCTTTTGAACCATGTGATTAACACTTTTCTTATGTAAAAGGGCCATGGAAAAGGAAGAATCTAGCTGAGTATGGTATAGTTACGCAGTGCATTGCACCCACCAGAGTGAATGATCAGTACATCACAAACGTTCTTCTGAAGATCAATGCAAAGGTTTGTTTGGTTCTGACACCAAAAGTTTTTAAGATCATGCACCCAATTGTTGTGCTCATAATTTGTTTTGTTTAACTAAATTTTTTTACTCTAACTAGCTTGGGGGCTTAAATTCAATGCTACTCTCTGAGGTTAATCCTTCTATCCCTGCTGTGTCTAAAGTTCCTACAATTATTATCGGAATGGATGTGTCGCACGGCTCCCCTGGTCAGACTGATATCCCATCAATTGCCGCGGTAAATCATCTCAAGGCTCTTTAGTCATTCAATCATTGGCTTGTTCTTTAGCAGTGTTTTTTTTTGATTTTCCATTCTTTTTGCAGGTTGTTAGCTCCAGACAGTGGCCCTCCATTTCACGTTATCGAGCTTCGGTTCGTACCCAGTCAGCGAAGGTTGAAATGATTGATAACTTGTTCAAACCCGTTGGCACTGAAGATGAGGGGATTATGAGGTATTGCCCTTCATTTCACTGGCTGTAGTCTCAATAAAGGTAACTTTTAAGATTGTGAAGTAATTCTTATGTATAATGTTTTGTGCTTGCAGGGAGCTTCTGCTGGACTTTTATGTCAGTTCTGGGAAAAGAAAGCCTGATCAGATTATAATTTTCAGGTATGTTTCCCAGCTGATGTTTGTATGTTTAAAATGTGACTTTATTCTGTTTTATTGGATTCTTGTTTTCCTTTACTTCCAGGGATGGTGTGAGTGAATCCCAGTTCAGCCAAGTATTGAACATTGAGCTTGACCAGATCATGGAGGTGACTGTTTTACATCAGAGAAAAAAGTGCTTAAAATTTCTGTCCTTGTTATTAAAAGTCACCTTGTTTGTTTTGTTTGTATAGGCTTGCAAATTTCTTGATGACAAATGGTGTCCCAAGTTTACCCTTATCATTGCTCAGAAGAATCACCACACCAAGTTCTTTCAGCCAGGAGCTCCTGAAAATGTTCCACCAGGTACACACCATAGTGTTGCACCATAGTTACACTAATCTCACATTTCAATCAAGCTTAGGAACAATGAAATGAATCATCTCTCCGCAATGGGCTTTATCGGAATTTAACAAGTTTTTGTTTGTTTGGACTTACAGGGACAATTATTGACAACAAGGTTTGCCATCCTAGGAACAATGACTTCTACTTGTGTGCCCATGCTGGAATGATTGTATGTTTCCCTTCTTGATGATGACCCATTATGTTGGTTCTTTCCCAAATTTTCCTTTGTGGCTAAATTAAGTCCCCCCCACCCCCCGCCCTACAGGGAACCACACGTCCCACACATTACCATGTCCTTATGGATGACGTCGGTTTCTCTCCCGATGAGCTTCAAGAACTTGTCCACAGCTTATCTTATGTGTAAGTGTGCTTTATCATATGCATTTCCTCTTGCTACAAATTTGAAGTCTCCCCAGATGATTTCACACATCTGAGCCATGGTTTTTGCTCTTTAATTGCAGGTACCAAAGAAGCACAACTGCAATCTCAATTGGTGAGTTCCTTACACTTCATTGGGTTATATATCTAACTGTTCTTGTTTTGATCTTTTTCTTCCACTGCTGCAAGCCAAATCATTAGAATGAGAGACTCATTATAAACACTTCTTGAAACATGGACAGTTGCTCCAATCTGCTATGCCCATCTGGCTGCAACTCAGCTGGGACAATGGATGAAGTTCGGGGACTCATCTGACACTTCGTCCCGGGATGGTGGTGGCAAAGCCGCAGCCCCGGTCCCGCAGCTGCCGAAGCTGGAGGACAAGGTCTCCAGTTCCATGTTCTTCTGCTGAGGTGGCAGTGGATTATCTGTATGTGTATATAGTACCAGTAGACCATGCTTTTCTCCTGCTGAAGGAGGATGTTCTTCTGATGATCTTTTTAGGATGTAATGTTTTTTTCTTTTGGGTTTTCTGTTTTTTTTTTTGGGTGTTTTTGGTTTGTGCTTTCTCTCCCATGGCAACAAACTGTTTTGGGACAACTTTTGCTTTTGTTGCATGTGGGAGAGGAAAAGGATCTGATATGATATGATGACTCTTATCTACTCTTTGGCCAAATTCAGACTTTGTGGTGGCAGAATTTACATATTTAACCCCACTCTTTAGCTGCTTATTCTGCTGCCTGTTTTTGGGCCAAATAATGGTTTCACTCTAGGTTTTTACTCTTTTCAACTCTTCCCAATTTTTTAAATTACAGAGTTAATTATCTCTATTTTACAGTTTTCTTAATGGCTTGTTTTCAATGCGAATCAGTATGTGCTTTCTGCTGCTCTTAAATCAACCTTTTCATCTTTTTTGTGAAGTTTAAAAGTTACAAAGAATTTGCTATTTATTTTGGGTAAATTTCACAAATGGTACCTGAACTTTAGCTGGAATTTAAAAGTAGTACTTTTAAATTCTTTCACAAAAATCCCTGAACTTACAATCCTTTCACTAATGAGCCATTAGCTCGTTTCTAGGTTAACTTCCGGTCATTAGGGCCAAATTCGAAGTGTTTTCCGGCCAACTCCGGCGAAATTGATGGCGGGCACCAACGCCAATGCAGTTGTGGCATTCGGGCGACCTCAAAGGACCCCTCAATTGCAAGATTTGATAAAGATTTGCAAAACTCCCAATGTTGGATCCAATTTCGAAATTTAGGGTTTTTTCGAGTAGAAAAATTTAGATTCGAGAAGTTACAGACCAAATTGGACAAAATGGTTTGGATATTATTGATCCTCGTCTCAAGACGAAGACAATGACATTGGTCCCGCGGGAATCGGAAAAAGTTCATTTTCCGGCGACTTTGACCGGCGGGCGGCGGCGGGGCGTGGAAGAAAAGAAAAGAAGAAATGGGGTCAAATTGAAACTTTTAAAATATATAAAATTCGAATTTGGCTCTAATGACTGGAAGTTAACCTAGAAACGGGCTAATGGCCCATTAGTGAAAGGATTGTGTAAGTTCATGGATTTTTGTGAAAGGATTTGAAGTTCAGGTACCACTTCGAAATTCCAGCTAAAGTTCAGGTACCATTTGTGAAATTTACCCCTTTATTTTTGATATTTTTTACTCAAAACAATATGCAAAATCACTCCTTTGGACTTGAATAAAGTTTAGCAAAGAGTTTAAGACAAATTTCATGATTATTAATTAACATGACAGTATGCCTTAGCAATTGATAATGAGTTATATTTTGCATGGATAAAAAATGAATATTTTTTTGGATGATCTAATTGCCCTAAGATCCTTCCAAAAATCAAGAATCCAAAAGCAGCCCCCCCTGCCCAAGATGACAGAAAAGTCCAATCTTTTTTTGCAAATATCAAAAGTTTGTGTGTTTGAGAGCTTCTTGAGGCTCCTGAGTATTTCTCATCCAAGAATTCTTTCAAGTTTGAGTTTGGCATAGAAGACTGAGGGACAGTTGACGAATTTCCCTAAACTCGAGTCCTGCTGTGAAAAAAATCAAGTCTTCAAGGAAATAAACATGAAAAAAAATTACTAGTAGAAAAATGCAATTCCTCAATGATTTACCTATTTGTTTTTTTTTACTTAACATTTTTAACTTTGATTATAAAATATGACAAAATATATTGGGTCATTATAAAAATCTATTAGCAATGAAGTTTTTAAATACAATACCTTTATAATAATATTTATTTATAAATACTATAGTGGTTTCATGATACGTAAGTTAATGTGTTTTATGATCCTAAGGTAAATAATTCAGACTTTCACTCAATTAGGGTGAACGGCATGGTGCGGCAAATTTCATTTGGTACCAAAAATTACTTAGATATAAATAAACTTTGCTTATTTATAATTTTCTTCAATAAAAACTTTCTTCAATTAAGTTTGCATAACACTTTGTTTAATTTATAGGAGTACTTTGTTTTTTACAAACAAAAGAAAACGAATGATAATAAAATAGTACAGAGTATTTCAAATGTTGGTTACAGTAAGTTTTTAACATTCATCTACAAAAACTAAAATTCAAATAATAATTACTCTCTTTGTCTCTAAATATTTGCCACACTTGTATTTTCGAGACAAAATATCAAATTTTTTCAATTCATTTTATTTACATATTGGTATAGAAATAAAAAATAAAATTTCCATATAAAAAAACTACATGAAAAGTTCTTCGAAATAAGAGTTGTCAAGAATATTTTATTTTATCAAATAATCAATGAAAACGTAGACATAAATAAAAGTTTCCGCGACTGCTGAAAAAGCAAACGTTATAAATAATTTGGGACGGAGGGAGTATTTAAATATGGAGTAATAGATTATTTGTAAATCATGTACACTTGAACCAACTTTTTAAAATCAATTTCTTATTTATTGATAAAATATAAGAACATTATTATTTTTTATAACACATTCGTATATGTGTTCGGTTCGAGATTTTTCGGTATGAGGTTATCATGTATTGATCTCAAATACCGTACCAATTATTTTGTTCGGTGCGATATGGTTATTTTTTGGTATTTTAGCGGTTCGATAATCTCGATTTTTTTTAGGAAATTTCAGAAACGGTTCGATACTTCTCACACTAACAAGAATGGTGGAATCCCTCATGTAGCATTAAGAAAGACCCATGATCTAATAATCATACAAGGAGCTCTACCTCGGGTCATCCACATCATACGCTCTACTGAAATAAATTTTGCGAAAAACCAGCTATATCCGATCTTGGTTGGCCTTTCACCCCTAGCCACAAGTCATCCCTGTATTTTGCCACATACGCGGGTTCGGTCCTCGAAGGCCTGTTAGAGCTCTCTTCAACCTGCTCATGGCTAGATCGATCGGTGCCTCTATGAACATTTTGTGGCCGCGTGGGTAGCTCAAGTGCTTTAAGGGAGGATGTCAAGTCATTGATCCTAGAGTCGAATTCCGATAATGGCTTTGTGAGAGTTTTTTTTGTAATAGCTCCTTATCTGCAATGGGTACGGGACAACCTCTCTGAAGACCAGATTAAAATTATACCATGATTTACGTCTCTCACAATCTTGTCGGGACGGGATGTGGGGTGGTATGAGTGGGAGTTCCTCCTTTTATACAAACATGTCAAGACTCAAGACCCTGACCCTCGAGTTCCCTCAAAAGTCTCTCAAAACTGATTTTTTTTTTCATCCCAAAGAAATCTTGAGTGATGGCTGCAAGTCTTTGAAGAATTCATTTTTGTCTTTCCTCGTTGATATATGTTAGGTTTTCTTTGAAGGGATGGCGACCAAAACCTGCTGCTCGAGAAAGGGAAAGCGGGCTGCAAAGTCCCCAACGCAGGTGGAACAAGTGATTCCAGGTTCATTTTTGTTTGTTCTCTCAAAACCCTTTATTTTTTTTTTTGGTTTTATTTGGTGTTTCCTTTTCTGCTTCTTGCCTTCTTGTAGATTGATATGTATCCATGGGAGGTTTTGAAGTTTCTTCTTCTTCTTCTTCAGTTGCTTGCTTACTTTGTTGTTTCCTTTTTGGGGCTGAACTTAGGGATTGATATGAATTGGGCTGAGGCATAAGTGCTGGTGTGCTTCCTCTAGCTTCCTTTACAGATTTCATGTACAAATTGATATTCCTTACAACAACAAACCTAGTAAAATTCCACTAAAAGTAGGGTCTGAGGAGAGTGTGGGTACACAGACCTTACCCCTACTCAGGGAGTAGTGTGGTTGTTTCCAAGGGACGCCGACACCGTTGAATCACATTTGCTTTTTTTATTGGTTCTAATTTTTTTATTCCATGAGACTTCAAGTTTTGAGTTATGTATCATTGTCTTGTTGAGAATGGTGAAGGATGTTTGAAGTTAACTGCAAACAATCTCTTCGCGGTGCTTAAGGAGTTAAGGTATTCGGGCCATTAACTAAGTTATTAAATCAGTGAGTACCCAGCAAGCATTCGCTACTCGAGCATGGAGTGCACTGAGTAACTCTGTTGGGGGTAAAATGTGAAAAGTTCATTGCAAAAAATAAGTAATTAAAAAACACTTGGGACTTCATTTTAATAAGATATGTTCCTAAGGTTTTTTAGTTATTACAAACTAACGAAATAGTACGGACCAAATTTACATGAAAGCTAGGGGGTTAGAATAGGGTTAGACTCCATTTGGTGTTTTGAGGGTTTGGTGGTTTGGTGACACGAAACATTGAAAGGTAAGTTAGTCTCTGGGGGTTCGAATAGGGTTAGACTCCATTTTGTGTGCTTTTTATGTTTGGTGCTTCTTTTTTCGTGCTCTGGGCTTTCAATGCTTTTTGTGCTCTCCATGATGCCTATGTTACTCGAGCTGGGATATGTTGAAAACAACCTCTCTACTTTCAAGTAGGGTTAAGATTTGCATACTCACGCCCTCCCTAGATCCTACTCCCGTAGGATTCAATTGGGATGTTGTTTTTATTTAACATATTTAACTTGTTTGTCATCCTTCTTTTGAATTTAAAGGATAGATATATTAAAAATTGGTGTTTTGTTCTGTTAGAATATAAATAACTGTTCCTGTGCCACAACCACAAGCTTGAGCTTTTGGTTGAGTTGGTTCCTTATCATGGTATCAGAGCCAGTTTTAGGCCACCTCGTTTGTCAAGGTGTCCGTCTAGACGTTCGTTTGTCAAGGTGTCCGTCTAGACGTTCATTCCTAGCAGCCCGTTAGTCTTTAGCCCAGTTGTCCGTATGGAGGTTGTACCCAACGGCCTGTGGCCTGTTTAACATGATCACTCGTCTGGAAGTCCATACCCAGCGGCTCGTGGTCCTTTAGGTATTGGCGCTCATAAAAAAAGTCAAGGGAATAGGAGTTCATTTGCAAGTGATCAACCGGTTAGATTCAAAATGGCCCGGTTGTCCACTTGTGGGGGAGTGTTAGAGTACATCCCACATCGGAAAATCCAAGAGTAAAATAATCGGTATATAAGCTCTAAAGATGAACTAACTAATCGATTGGATTCAATCTTTTAATGTGGTTCAACCCAAGTGTCTTATTGCTCAATCCAGTTATCTCTACCCCAATCCTAAATTCTATTATGGTATCCGAGCCTCGTTGACTAAGAGGTCACGGGTTCGAAACTCAGCGCCACCCAGTTTTAAAAAATTAATGTTTCACGTGCAAGACTCGAAAAAGACTACGCCTGCACGTGAGGGGGCGTGTTAGAATATAAATAACTTTTCCTGGGCCACAACCACAAGCTTGAGCTTTTGGTTGAGTTGGTTCCTTGACATGTTCAATTAAGGCCCTTTTTTTAAAGACAGAATTGTGTCTAGAAACACACGTCTTTTCTGGGGCAAAGCGAGTAATATATTTGAATGTAAAAAATACACTTGTCACAATCACTACTATGATCTATCACAAATTAGATTGATTATGGAGGGCCTGGTTATTTGTCTCATAAATTAGTGCAAAACTAGAAGTGCTAAAACCAATGAATATTTTAGCTACAATATACTCCATTTTAGCATGAAATGCATTAATATTGGTCTGAGCCAAGGGTTATAAGTGTGTGTATGATTTGGAACCCACAGACTTTGCTAATTATGGGATTTCTTTCATTACAGCTGAGACTTTTCAATGCGCACAACAGAACGTGCAATTATCTGGGAAACCCAGCTGCATTAGTCTAAACTCCTCTTTAGTGAAAAGTGTTCCCCGCAACAAAAGATCAAAAAGGGGTGATGAAAACAAGAAAGGTACAACATGTCACATTACGGAAAATGTATATTATCAATGAATTTTCTTGAGGTGATACATCAGTGTTTTCTTGTTCTTCTATCATTTGGGGTTTGTTTCCTTCTTAGTTCATTTATTGTTATAATTTTTTAAACTTATCTGCTCTATTTCTAATTCCTATAAAAACTGAAGAGACATTGTACGAGCTATTCTATAACTGGAATATTGTCGCTTTCAAAATGTTAAGCATATTGGCTACTGATTTCATTTTGAGATAATTGACATATATTTATTACGAGTAGTGAACAAATATTTTAATATTAAGGAAAGTACTCGCTGAAGTTATGAATTGAAAAAAACAAAAATTTTGTCCCTCCAGATTTCATTATAAATGGCCGAATGACAGTTGTGGGTTTTCACTTGTAAATTATTTCTTCTCAGGTCTGGATGTAGCAAATGAGCTGAAACTAAATAACCAGTTATTAAATGTTAAACCAAAAAAGTCACGCGCGCGTAAAAAACGAAAGTGTAAGGACATCCATGACCCAAGCGATGATGAAGTTATCTCGCAGAGTTCTCTGCACTGGCGTGGACAGTCAAGGAGAAGGTGTGAAAGCAGTGCTCTTGGAAAGTTAGACTCAGTTACCTTTGAGCTTTATCGGGAGTACGATTTGTGGACTTATGTCTTTTGTTTTATTATTATTATTATTACTATTATTATAATTATTATTATTTTACGGAGTAATATTTTAATTTTTTGAATTTGAAGAAGCTTACTGCATTGTTTTGTCTTTTGTTTTGCTTAAAGTTTTTTTTTTGTTTTTTTGAAGGAAAATATGGAGGGCTTTTCCTGAAGAGAAGAGAAGTTCGTTTACATGTCTTGACTCCCTATGGTATCACTTATACACAGATAGAACCACTAAAGCTAAGGTGTTGGATTGGATCAAGAAGAAAGAGATCTTCTCCAAAAAATATGTCCTTGTTCCTATTGTTCGGTGGTAAGTTTAAGTGGCTTGTGCTTACCTAAGTACTTGTACTGCATTTGGAAGGAATAGGTTTGGGACTCTATATACGATGCCTCAACTTCACTCTCTGTTCCACCTTAGGTCCATTCCGGAGTTGAAAAATGCTTCTGAGAGGAATCAAGGAGTTTATAAAAGAAAGTGGGAATGAAAAAAATTGGGAAAATGAAAAATAAGTTCAAAGAACAACAACAACAACAGCAACATTACCCCAGTGCCTCAATGGCTCCCGCCCATTGCGGGGTAAGGGGGGTCGGATGTACGCAGTCTGACCCGTACGTTTAAAACATAGAGCATCTGTTTCCAGATGACCCATGATGAGCGTCGAAAGTTGCATTGACTAACTGCTACTTCACAATTGCAAGAAGCGGAGACAATTTAAAGAGCCAATTTGCTTTATTCCATCATACCCCAAAGCAAAAAAAGTTGTGAATCTTTGGCTCCATAGGGGGATGGAAATAAAATGAAAACTAAGTTCAAACTCAATAAATCACTTACTCTTATTTTTCGAAGGCATTTCGTTTATTTATTTTCATTACGAAGACTTAATATGTATATATGTAAATGTGAAGAGTCTTGACCAAAAATATAGGTGGAAATTTTACAACAATTTCCAAAAAAAAATTGCATCATATCCCTAAAGTACCCAAAAAATAGAGGATTTTTTTTGTAATATGTGCTAACTTGTGATTTTTTGAATTAGGGGTCATTGGTGTCTATTGATCATGTGCAACATGGGAAAAAGTTTTGAGTCAGAATCTGAAACTCCTTGTTTGCTACTGCTCGACTCCATGCAAGCTGCGCACGCCAAACAACTAGAATCCGGGATAAGAAAGTAAATCGCCAGTTCAGTTGATTTTTTTTAGTATTCTGGAAAAACTTGCACCAATAACTTGTTCATCCTCTTGCTCTGCAGATTTGTTTCTGATCTTTATAGCGCGGGAGAGAAAACAGTAACAACAAAAATGATAAAAAAGATCCCTTTTCAAATTCCCAAGGTTTCTTCCTACTCCCGATATCTTATTGAAATCTTAATATAATATGTGGTTGTATAACATTTTAACAGACCCTTAATGGCATTACCATGTTTTTTTGGGTACATGTTCTCACTTGAAAAGATCAACTGTTTCAGGTTCCACAACAAAGAAACGGTGAGGAGTGTGGGTACTATGTTTTGTACTTCATCCATCTTTTCTTAGGACATGCTCCCGATGACTTTAGTCTGGCTGAGGGCTACCCTTACTTTGTGAGTCGCTCACGAGACCATCTTTACTCTTTACTTTTTTATTATCTTCATAGCTTTAATGAAGTAAGATCATATTGTCTGTAAAACAAATACCTTAAATCAAGCAATAAGGATTCGATCAAAATTGTAAAAGGAAAAGAAGAATTGATATACAGCACAAAACATGGTATTTATTAAACATATATTACATTGTTAACTTATTACTCCCTTCGTCTTAATTCATACTTTTCACTCTGACTATGCACATAGATTAAGAAAGTGAAAAGTGTATGTTTGAGATTTATGCAGAGGAAGAAGAGAAATAAGGTGAGGCACATAATGATATCTACAGGTGGAAATGGGAAAAGACAAATTGAGATGGACTAAAAAGAAAATTATGCAAGATAAATTGGGATACTTGATAGTAAAAACATTTAGATTCATATTTATAGAAAAATAGCTAGAGAAGTAGAGGAAGGAAGATGACTGGTGGGCAATTTTGAAAATGAGTTTTTTAGGTTAAGCATTTCATGCCGCGAAAGAAAAAATGTTGATTTAGCTCATTAGGAAATTGGAAAAATTCATGCAAATACCCCTAGAAATTTGAAAATTTACAATATTCCAAGATTACATAATTATCGTGCTCCCAGATATTCAATACGGTTTTCTTCCTCTTTTGAGAATAATATGCTTCTGCATGGCTTAGCTCATAATGTCTCGATGCTTCACTTTCAGAAAGGTTCTGATGAAAAGTACAGAGTATAAGCTAAGCCATTGAGCCTTTTCTCTCCAAAACCTTCCATCCAAACTAACCCTTATCTCAAATTTTCTAATAAGCTAAATGGGACATTCACTTAGTCCCACAAAATCCTCCCTATATAAACGGGACACTGAAATTTTTTAAAATGTTGATTTAGTTTTGAACACATTACACATGTTCAAGCACATTTTAAAAGCTCATTGTACAGATGAAGAATGACTGGTTTAGCCCCGAGGAACTGGATGCCTTTTCCAAACAACTCGAATCTTCAAGCAAGGAGGAATCTTCTGATGCTGAGAAATCTTCCTCGGATTCGGATCCTATCGAGTTATCAGGTGGTTCTATATCGTAAAAATTAGTTTCCTTCCATATTCAGATTCCTTTTTGCTATAGCTATTAGCTACATTTTTTTTCCGGAGTAAATTCCACAAATGGTCATCTCTTTTTGTGAATATTCCACATTTAGTCCACTATATAAAGACCTTGTTTGGGAATAGTGTTTTAGTGTTTCAGAAAAAATATTTAACGGTGCAAATTAACTTTGAAAATGCTAAACCTAAACATTGTCATTAGATAGCCTTTTTAAAATGTTGAAATTGTTGCCAAACATGCACAATTCTTTGGAGGTCCACTTTAACTGTGAGCATTGCTAATTTTAGTTCTCTTTCCATCAAAATTCCTCAAAACAAATTCCTCAAAATGATACACTTACAAAGGACCAAAAGTTCACAATTGTTAGAGTTTATCCCACATCGGAAGATGAATAGAAAACTTATCGGTATATAAGGTCTTGAGTTGAACTAACTAATGGATTAGATTCAATCTTTTAATGTGGTTCAGCCATGTGTTTTATTGCCCAATCCAGTTGTCCATACACATCCTAAATTCTATCAACAATGTTCCAAACTTTCAAGGACCTTAATTGGTATTTAATGACATTGAGGAGTAACACTGGAAAATGTTCACAATTAATGCAGACTTCCAATGAAATTTCATCTTAGTGGACTAAATGTGGAATATTCCTAAATTATAGATGACCATTTGTGGATTTTACCCCTTCTTTATGGGGATCCTATGGGGCTGCTCTTCTAATCTCTTGCTGCATTCACAGTATTCAAACATGAAAAAATGATTGAGTTTGAGGATAATTAAGCTGCCTACTTGGATCAAACTTTGTTGGCATCATAGGGAGTGTTTGGTTAAGGTTTATACCTTGGATTATTTTTGTCTCCTTGCAAGGGAATGAAAGATTGGGAATTTGTAACCACCTAAATGCATTTTCTTCTTTTTAATGCTAGTTTTTTCAAGGGGGGCTTGGTTTAGGCCTTGCAAGGGAATGTATGATTGTTAAAATTTGTAATTTTACCAAGTATATTTTGATTATTTGTGTGCATGTGACGAACTTTATCGTATATCCGGTTGTATCTATATTTTTTTTGGACATTCTATGAGCCTTTATGTAACCCATAAAAAATGTGCATATGTTAATTTTATAACGTGCGAGTTTTGAATATGTACAAGTAAATGTGTTCTTTTCTACTCCGCATTTTCTCTTTTTTTTTTTGTTTTTTTGAGAATGAATTGTGGTTCACATAAGTTTTTCTCTTCTTTACAACATAAAATCACATATTATTAACTTTATTAACAATCGTGCATTTTATTACAAAGTATACTCTGTAATATTCTTTAATTTAACATTTACTCTCACATCCAAAACCAAACTCAAATATTCAATTCTCGACGTCCCAGAATCAAAATCAATTTTTTATATTTTGCATATTCACCTACTCGTTTTAACCTTTTTTGTGTCAATTTAAGGTCAACAAACAATCATTATTTATCTTTATGAAATTTGCTAGAGGTTTTCTAGGTGGTGTACTCCTGGTATACACTACCTTTCTCACAAACAATCAATGTATGTGTTTCACATAGACAGTGGGTGTCGGTGCGTCTCCTATACCTAAACTTGTGTGAATTCAATTAAATAGACAACAACAACAACAACCCAGGTGAATCCCACAACTGTAGGATCTGGAGAGAGTGTGTGTACGCAGACCTTGCCCCTACTCGGAAGTAGGGAGGCTGTTTCCAAGAGACCCCCGACTCCACCTGCACGAAAATATGGAAGGGAACACAATATAACACAGTACACAGATAAAGCACCAAGTACAAGCAACAAGTACAAGCAATAGCAGAAGATTCCAAACAAATACAACACACTACAAAACAACCTCTACAACACCGAGCTCCTATCCAGCTACTCTAATCATAGTTTTCCAAAGGTTCCTATCTAGGGCCATATCCTTAGTCAGGTCGAGAAACCCTAAATCCTGCCTAATCACCTCCTTCCAATGCTTACTAGGTCTACCCCTTCCCCTACTTCCCCCGATAACTGTAATCCTCTCACATCTCCGTACAGAGGCGTCAGCATCCCGCCGTCTCACATGGCCAAACCATCTGAACCTCACTTCCCGCAACTTATCTTCCACCGGTGCCATGTCTACCTGACGTCGGAAAACTTCGTTCAATTAAATAGTCAATTATATCAAACTCATCTTCTGAGACAAAATAGAACTTAGAATCCCTATTCCCTAGTAACAGGGAGCATTATGCATTGAAGACAAATTCTTCTATATCTCTTAGGTCTATACTCATTTGTACTTTCTCTGTCCCAAATTATAATGCATGTTCACTATTCACAGGGTCAAACTTCATTCACTTTCTTTCTCAATTTTCATTAGCAAATTGATAAAATAAAATACTATTGTCACTACTAGTTTTGTAGATCTTTTGATGTAGTATTTTAATATGTAATTTTTATTTTTTAACTATATACCATTTGTCATATAAAATGATTTGAAAATAATTTCAATCAAACATCGTAAACAGAAACCGGCGTTATAAAATGGGACGGAGGGAGTATAAGTTAATACCATAAGCCAATGTTATGTATTGGGCTTGTAAAAAAATACTCCACCCGTTTTTAAATGAATTACGCTATCTATTTAACATGTAAATTCCTATATCTTTTAAAATAATTTTATTAACAAATTAATATAGAAATAAAAATAAAAATTACATATTTAAAAACTATTACTCCCTCCGTTCCAATTTATAGTGTCTGTTTCGGTTTACAATGTTTGACCAAAATTATTTTCAAATTATTTTATATGGCAAATGGTATATAATCAAAAAATAAAATTACATATTAAAATACTATATCAAAAGATCTGCAAAACTAGTAGTGACAATAATACTTTATTTTATCAAATTGCTAACGAAAATAGAAAAAGAAAGTGAATGAAGTTTGACCATGTGAATAGTGAACAAGCACAATAAATTGGAACAAAAGAAGTACAAAACAAGATGTGACAAAAATATTTTTTTGTCAAATGATCAATGAAAACATGCAAACAAAAGTTATCGAGAGACAACACTTATAGTAAAGAAATACCAGAGTAAATCATTTTGCGATGGAGAAAATATTTCATTATGAACCCATGAAAAATATATGAGAACTCAAACTTTAAATCCTTACATGTGGCATAATGTAAGGATTTAAAGTTTGAGTTTCTGATATATTTTTCAATTAGAACATGTTTTTTTAAGTTTGAGTTTCTCATAGATTAGTTTCAATTAGAATTTTCTCATATAAAGTTTGAGTTCTCATAGATCAATTAAAGAATAAATTTTTAAAATAGTCATTTTTAATGAGATGTTTTTTCAATTAGTCTTCAATAACTACTCCCTCCGTCCTATAATATTCTTCCCAGTTCTGTTTACGAAGTTTGACCGACTTTATTTTTAATTGAATTTATTTGATTGTAGGTGTAAAATTAAAAAATAAAATTTATATATTCCTTGAACCTTTATAATTGAGATATATTCCTAAATAGTTAGGAGTAATAATTACCAACTTGATCCTTTATAATTGAGATATATATTCCTAAATAGTCCTTTGTAAAAAAATGTCTATTAAATGACATTTAAATAAAGAATATTTTTATATTTTTCTTCATCTAAACTATGAATAAATTTTCAAAATAATCCTTTCAAATTAAGTTAGTGACTGTTCGAGGAACGGATCCATTCCGAGTAGGCTCATTGACTCCATTTCGAATAGAAATGGTCATTTTAAAAAAATATTTAATTATAAAGGAGTATATAGAGAACATACTTTATATCTAAATCATTGGGAAATATTAAAATATCATCTATTTTACAAACATTTAAATATTTAATTTACATTTTAAGAAGAAAACTATTTAGGAAATATATTTTTATTACAAAAGATCAAGTAATTATTAAAGACTAATTTAGAAAAAAGACTAAAATATATCTTTATTAAAGACCATTTTGAGAATGTACTCTAAATTAAACAAATTATCTATGTTTACAATTTTCAAAATTTAATCCACTATAATGAAATTTTAGTAGACATTCACCTTATAATTGCTAATTTTATTCTTCTTTCTATCAAAGATGATAGCCTAACGAAAGGCTAAGAGTAACAACGTTCCAAAATTTAAGGACATTAATAATGGGTTTTTAGTGACATGGAGAAGTAAATTGAAAAATGTGCATAACCAATAATATGAAACACTTTTCAATTTCATAAAATAATACCGGAGTAGATTAAATGTGAAATATTCTTGATTATAGATGGACCATTTATTTATGAGAACCAAAATGTTGCCACTTCCAATAGAGTCTGGAACTGACACTTCTGAAACAAGTGTAGTAAAAATAAATTTCAATAGAAGAGAACACACCTTTAACACATGAAGTAGAAACACCAAAATTATAGCAACAGTTTCACTCATTTAACTTTGGGAATTGGATCCAAAAGTAACAAACTGCGGTGCGATTCCTTCAAAAATCGTACTAAAATTGAGAAGACAGACCGAAAATAACACGGGACAAAAAGATATCATACATTTCAGATCTTGTTGAAGGCGACAATGTCACAGCTCTGCACATATTCGTTGATCGGCTCAACTGTGAGGCGCTCCTCAATGAGCGTATCGACAGAGACGAGGTCATCGACTATGGTCATCATGATCTGCAACTTCTTGATCCCGTATCCAACGGCGACCAGTTTTGCTGCAAGAAGAAATTAAAAATGAGTTTTGCTTAATGCCCAACAAGAGAAACACATTGGCTTTAAGTTTAGGACGTTTTTGGTTTGAGTGGGAATGTTCCTCAGTTGGTTCAAATCATTTTTTTAAAAACATGGGGTAAAAAATATTCCCCTACCCTTCCCGATTCATGTCTCTCCAACCAATCAAACACACCCTTAGGGAAGAAAAAGAAACGCATGTGAGTGTGTGTGGGGGGGAGGACATTACATGCTCCCCAAAGAAGTCCTTCCATCTCAATGCTCCTAACTGCCTCTTCTAGCTTTTTCATATCTGTCTCATCATCCCAAGGCTTAACATCCAAAAGAACAGAAGACTTTCCGCCTGCAAAGGAAACAAAACCACTGAGAAATGAAATCTGGCTCCACCTCTATGAAATATACAAATCAAGCATTTTGCTAGATCCCACCCATAAAAACAATGTGATACGATACAAATTCATCAGATGGGTTAAAATAAATGTTAAAGCAACAAATTGTGTGCATTGTTTGGTAAAAGGTGAATTTTGGCTGAAATGACCAGTGTGCTGAATTCATCAAACCTTTTGGTTGCAATGGATATATTCCTCCATCCCAAAAAGGAGCTCACTTTGAAGAATGTATTACTTTTAAACTTTAGTAAGGTAAAACAGTTTGAAAGCACAAAATACACCTATACTTTTAAGCAAATCAATGAATTGGAAAAATTAGACAACAAAAACAGGTTGAGAAAAATGACCCTTTTACGGGGAAAGATAAATAGTATCTACAAATGATTGTAAATCCATAGCTCCTTAACTTCGTCCATCTCAGCATAACCCAACGCCTAATACACTGTTTAAGTCATTACAACCAATTCAGCTATAGCAGTCAATTAAGTTGGAGGTTGTCAAAATTACTGGTTAAGAAGCAGAAATATCGAGCTAACAAACAAGCACCATAATTAAATTTCAGTCATATTGATAACTATGACCATGCAACAACTCAGTTGATTAGTATGACCATATGATGTTTTTAAGCACATCTACTTTAGAATGATATACTCTCCAAGTCCCACAAAAAATTCTACATTTCTTATTTGGTGATCCTAAAAATAAAGTTCAACTTTACTTTCAACAGAAGAATTGTGGGGTTCACAGCTCCTGCTCCTCTATAAATTTCAACTACCCAATTTCAACTTTATCACTATTCACGTTGATTCCAATGTGAAACCTTATTTTGATTTAAGTAGTGAATAACTATGCATCATAGAATGTTCAATGTTCTGACTCACTCTCTTTCTTCTTGGAAGATGCTTTGGTTGCAGCTGCCCTCTCTTCCGCTGCTTTCTTCTCTTCCTCGGTCTCTTCACCGAAAAGATCAATGTCATCATCATCATCTCCTGCAACCTGCACATAACCAAAGTGGTAGGTTAACTAGTGGAATGAGAATCTTAAAGACACGCCTCAATAAAAGTGATAAAATGTAATAAAATACTCTTCCCATAATTCCAGTTTTATTACCAGTTTGTTGAACATAAACAGTTATTTACCTGAACAAATCAAAGGAGATTACCAGCCTAATCCCATTCACACCACAGGGCAACAAATTTGGGGTTTGAGAAACAAAAGAAATCGTTTAGGGATTCCAAATAAAAATATTTATATATATACACACACACCCACTCCCTCCATTCCTAAAAGATTGCCACTCTTTGACAGCGAATCATGGAAAAAGTATACTCAGTGATAATGTAAATTTAGAAAAATTGGGTTGATTTTAAAACATAGTTTTGAAATATCAAATTTTTATGATATTTAATTATTTTAAACTATAAGTAATTCATGTTCAAAGGGTACCACAGTTTGACCAAAAAAGTCAAACTATGTCAATCTTTTTAGGAACGAAGGGAGCATATGTATATGTGGGTATGGATGCTATGATGGATTTGGTCTCAATTTGCAAATAACATTGCAGAAAAATGACAAAAGTCCAGACAAATATAGTCTTTGTTTAAAATTAAAATTCTCCAGACGAACAATATTTAGATACATTATCCACTGTCACCCTTGCTACGCGGAATAAAGTGGGACCAGTTTTCAACACCATTGCCAATAAGTATTAGATAAAAAAAGTTAATGTATCTAGGTCACAAATAAAAGTTATATTCTTGGTGCTATGGTGCAACTTTAAAATTTTATTAAGGTGCAACGGTAGAAAACAATCAAATATAGCTACGTTTTAAAATATACTCCATATTTGTTGGGTTAACTGATTTTAACAAACTCAACTTGTCTGAACATCTATAAGAAAAAAAAGGTTTTTAATGTGTCAAAAATCATCTACCTCCAGTTCAAATTTGAAACTTTTTAAGGGTAATAAACTTATAATTGCTGGAAATTGACAAATATGATGGAGTAGTCCCAATCATGACTACCTTAGCTTCCTTAGCTGGAGCAGCTTCAGCTGGAGCATTTTGACTCCCAAATCCTACTCCGGCAGCTTTTCGGGGGAATCTATAAACAGATATTCTCAAGTAGTTAAAATCTAAAACACGCCATTACCTTCATATTTAAAAATAAAACAGAATAAAGTACTAATAAAACCCATCGAATTAACTAAAAAATCATAGCCGCAAAAAAACAACAATTAAACAATGCATACCTTGGGGCGAGTTTGGAAGAAACGGTTTGGTACCACTTGCTAGCATTCGGGTACAGATCTGCGCTCGGCTCCTCCGGAAGAGCAGCATACACCCTGGCATCATCCTTGGTGATCCGATCTCTGCAAATCATCACCGAACCGCATAAGACGAACAGAAAAAATCAAAATCAAAGCAACGAACTACATTGTGAAGCAAATTAACTGATGATTACCCAGAAATATAGGATTTTCCGGAGAGAAATTCATCGAGCGACTTGACGCCGGCCTCTGTGTGGAGATCTGAGAAGGTTACGGCCATCGTCTCTGAGCTCTTGAATGTATAGTGAAGGAAACTGTGATGGAGCTCGAGAATCGGGACGCTGAAGAAGGAGATTTTGGGGGGCTTGACGAGATTTGAGCTTTTATATATGCGTCTTTAACAAAAACCCTAGGGTCTGGAATCAATGTTCAAAAATACTCCTTTTTTTGTATCTTGCACCATTAATTTTAATTTTTCATTAAAATTTCCAATTATAGAACATTCAAACTCTAATTATCAAATTTTAAACTTCAATTCTTAGTTTTCAAATTTCAAATTTAATGATATTTAATATGACTAGTTTGTTTCAAAAGAAATACGGAGTATTTTTTATATTAAATACGAACTATCAGAGACTTATTTTTGCAAATTCAACTGAATTATTGTAGATTTGTGGTGCTCTATATGAATTTGTCATTAATTAATGACAATTATGATCATGATATCAAAACAAAAATAATAATCGTACTCCGTAATAATAACAATAATTGTAATAAAACTAATACAAGATATGAAAAATCACCTAATATATTTTGACATTCACATATTATCAAGCACTTACAAATTACAATGTTCTACTGAAATTGGATGAAAATGCTAGGGGTTTTGGTGTACCTGAAATATCCTCAACCTTCTCCATAATCACAAAAATTTGCATGTAAAATTAAATTTGGAGATATCAGAGTTTGATATCTCCATCAACCGCCATCCGCCACTAGCTACCGCTATCACTGCTAACCACCATCGTAACCGACCACTCATGCCGCAACTATTTTAAACATTATTTTAAATATTATTTCAGATTTCAGATCTCATATTATTTTTTAGACTTCGAACACATCTATACTACATATCATGTAGGTCATGTTTGAAAGTTGGTGATTGACGATTGGTTGTTACCTGTTTTTTTGCTGGTGGAGCTAGCTGTTTTGACTAGTCAATAGCATCAATTGTTCACAAAAAAGTTTGACAAACTTACCTGCTTTTAAACAGCTGTTGTGGATGTAATTATATTTAAAAACTTAATTCATGGGTATGCTTTGTATAATATAATATAATTTATATAAATTTAATTATATGTGAGTTTTATAATATGTTAGACTAGTTAACAAATTTAGTCTTTGTACAAAATTTAAGTGAATTTTATTCGAAGAATATGTAAATAGTTATTCCCTCCGTCCCGAAATATTGTAATACCCCGTATCAAGATGGAAATGGGAAGAGCTCAAAAGGATTGATAGTACTACTCATACCAACAAGGTGCATCTTTCATTACGAGATCTCATCACCTAGAAACTCCAAAGTTAAGCGTGCTTGACGTGGAACAATTCTAGGATGGGTGACCCCCTGGGAAGTTTTACTTGGGCGCGCACGAGTGAGGACAAAGTGTGCGGGAAAGACTCGTGTTGGTTTGTGGGGCCAGTCTACAATCCTATGAGCGGACACTTACGGCTAGGGTGGGGGCCGGGGTGTTACAAATATTCTTCCCGTGTTGACTTGGCATGCTTATTAAGGAATAGTAAAAAATGCAAAATTTTCAAAAATGCACATACTATAAACTTTTAAATCTCCTTTTATTATTAAAAAAGTACTAAAAAAAGTATATTTGTGATAAAATAGAAGGGTATTATTGATATTTATCCTTAAAAAGTATACTAAAAAAAGGAAATGAAAATAATATTTTCTGGACGGACCAAAAAGGAAAGTGGGAAGAATATTTTCGAACAGAGTGAGTATTTGTTTTTTATTTACTTCTCATTAATTAATTAACTTATTTAATTGTTGTATAATAAATAATTATAGTCCAACATGCAACAACAATCTCTAAAGACTATTTCTCTTAACTTTTCATATTTTGACTTATTAGACTCTAAAGTCAACTACTAAACATTCTATCAATGTTATTAGAACCGGACCGGACCGGCCGGTCCAACCATTCGGACCGCGAACCGGTGAGCACTCCGGTCCAGTTCATTTGTTAAAACCGGAAACGGATTGACCCGTCCAAACCCGGTAAACCCGGCAGAACTGGTGGACCGGGTCGACCCGACCGACCCGCGGGTTGGGTCTTTTTTTTGTCTAAAATAAAATGATTGAGATATGAATTGAACTCTAAACCTGACCATACACCTCTCAAAGACTCTAACCACCTAAGCTACTAAGGGGGTGTTTGTTTTTTGGCCAGAAGAGCTTCTGGCCTCTTTTGTCTGGGCCGCGCAGACGCGCGCAGATGTTGAGCTCTGCAGATTGTTTGTTTTTTGGAAAATATTTCACTCAAAAAGGTCTTCCTGTCATCTTCTTGGAGAAGACATTAACCTATGTCTTATAACATCTCTATTTTTTTCTTCTACTTTTCTTCACCACCACCACCGTCCACCATCACCGCCACCGTTGTCCGCCACCACCGCCACCATCCACCACTACCACCGTCCACCACCGTCCACCATCACCATTAATTTATATAGCAGTCTACAGACATTAAAAAACAAACAGTCTTCTTCTTGCAGACCGCAGACCTTCGGTCCACTACTTCTCCTGCAGATGTCTACAGTAGTAGTCCGTAGACTGCAGACTGCAGACCTTTTCTTGCAGAAAAAACAAACACCCCCTAAGTACTTGTTACCTAAATCATGCAGAATAGTATACATAGTGTTTCTTATTTGTGTTGAAGAAATTTAAAAAATTTCTAATTATTTGTAAGAAAGAACATGTTTGTGTTGTGTAGTTATTTTAAAATCTTTTAAAATATTTCAAAGTAAAAGATAAATATTATTTTTTGTATTAAATAATAATGAATAATTTACATCTAAACAAATATTATCATATATAAAATGAAGAAATATATACTAATTATATATTATAAAACATGGGAAGTGTGAAAGAGTATATGAACAATAACATTGAAAATAACATGGAGAAGAAAAAACACAATATTAAGTATTTTATTTAACATTAAAAATACTCCGTAACATTTACATCTTTTCTTAATATGTGTGTCTGGTTCAAATGAGAAGATTAAAGTTAGACGGAGGGAGTACGTGCTTTGGATTATTTAGAAATAATAAGTATTTAAGTTATGTGATAATATTTTATTATCTTTAAAAATAATCCACAAAACATTGTATTATTTAATTTTTTATTATCTAAACATAAATATGAATGTTATATACCAAGTCATGGGTCGTTGACCCGAGTCAACCCGGTTCAACCGGTTGACTCTTGACCCATTAGCTTCGGTTCGACGTCCGGTCCGGTTTTTCAAAACATTGCATTCTATTGAAGTATTTGACTAATTAAAACAGTCAAAATTGAGCAAAACATGCCAATAGGATAATCTCAAAAAGCATCGAAATCCAAAGGTTGTCTCAAGGCTCAACATTTTTCTTTTCTACGGACGATAAGAAACAATTTTTTTTTCTTTTTTAAAGACCGGAAACATCGAAATCGTCTCTCCCAAGAACGGCAACAAGTCGGACTTTTTTCTGGGGAAAAGCAGAGATTTAAAGAATCTTTATATACTCGCATGTGATTATACATATCTTTATATATGCGTTTTGTGAGGCTGGTTAACCTAGGGTTTGATTGATCCAGACGTGTTGGCGCCATGAAGAAGAGGCTCGATACTCGATTTCCCGCGGTAAGCTCTCCCATAACCCTAAACTGAAATCTATCGATTTCTAAGTCTTTTTCCTTATGTATAATCTATCTGTTTTGCTCCTGTTTTTCTCAATTGATTGCGAGTTTTGAGCATGGGTTGGTTTTGGAGATGGACGAATTTGAATTTAGGATGATTGGGGTTGGGTTGATAGGTTTCTGTTTTTTTTCTTTTTTTTGCCAGCTTTATGTACCTCTGGTTCTCTGTTCAATTGATTGTGATTATGAACATAGGGTTGGGTTGAATTGGGTCGTTTAGGCGGTCCAAAACATTGGAAGTTTGGGTAGAGTAGAGTAGTGATTGGGTAATTTGGGTTTTTCTCAGAAGTTAATGTGCAATTGAAGCGAATGAGATTCAGTTATTGTTCTATCTTGAATCATTAGTTAAAATCAAGTTCAAAATCAAGTAATTATGTGAATTCAAATTCACCATGCTTGTTGTATGACGTAGCTCTCTCGTCCCAATGTGGTGTGGGACCATGAACCCGTTTTGGTTGGGCATGAAGGTTATAAAAGTGAAAAGTTTGTGATTGAAATATGTGCGAATGTGTAAGGAATCCAACATGGTGTATAGATGGAAACAGAAAGCATTCACAACAAATTGGGATGGAGTGAGTATTATGTAAGTTTTGCAATAGTAGTATTAAATAAAGGGCTTATGCTTGTTAGGTATTATAACACCAGTAATTGGTGTCATATTATGACATCAATCATTTGAGGAGGAAGGAAGTCGCTGAAGGGGGTTGGGCAGAGGGGCGACAATAGATGAGCGATGAGTGAGGGGTCGCCAAAAGGGACCTGAGAAGATGAGGTTGCAGAAGAGAACTGGGGGAGAGGGGAGATAGAGGAAAGGATCGATTGGGGTGGGGGTGGTGAGGTTGACAAAAAGGGGCTAGGGGAGAGGCATGTAGGAAGAAGAGAGATGGGGAGAGGAGCTTCTTTTATTCGTTTGATCTTATTTCTTTAGAATCCAACGGCCCAAAGGGTCTAGTGTTATAATATGACGCTGTCTGTCAAAGGGGTTGAGGAGAGGAGCAGTGGAGCACCAAGTTGAGGGTCACCAAAGAGCTTGGGGAGACAGGAGACGTGAGAGGGGTTCGTTTAAGGGGTCAGGGGAGCAGGGAGATGGGGAATGATGTTGCCGAAAGGGGTTGGGTTTGGGGGAGAGGTGAGATGTGAGATGAGAAAATGGCCGGATGGGGTAAGGGGCTTATTTGATCCGTTTGATCTCATTTTGTTAGAATGCAATGGAAAGGGTGACATCTGCCTTTAACCGGTGTCATAAGAAGCGAGCACTTTAGTAAAACCTGCAATATTGTTGATGTACTTGCTTTTATTGTGTGGCCTCCCCAACAACATATTAATTTCAAGTTGTTAAAACATGTTAGAACCAACAATGACTAAACATAGACTAGTTAAATGGTATGAGTATGATACTTGGCACATGCTTTGTACCTTTCTACTTTGTATCCATCTGAGAAGTAGAATTTTTCTAGTGAATCTTACTTCTTCTTGGGTTCTGGTCTTAGGACCCAAGATTTTTCCAGCTGCCAGCGAAGTTGGAACCCGTGTATTTAAAAAGAGATATAACTATAATGTTATTGGCATTGATTGGAAGTTAGGACCTATAGCAGCTAGATGGTAGAATGGTAGTGGCTAGTTTGGAAACTGAATAAGCAGGATTGACGTCAAAACTTACATTTGGAGAAATGAGTTGCCATTTTATCACAAAATTAAGAGCCTAGGTAACAATTCAATTCATATTCAAGTATCTCTCACTTGTTTTTCATTGACCAACGTGCCATTTCATCACTTTTTTCAAATTCAACTCATATAGTTCAATCATATTCCACTATAATTCATTTGAAATTCTTTTTCCAATATATAATCAAATTATTTTAATAAAATTTTACATTTGAAATATTTATAAAACTCTGATTTTTTCATACTTCCTCCATCCCAAACTAAGGCTCATGGTTTGTTTACGATGTTTGACTGAAATTATTTTCAATTCAATATAAGTACAAATTGGTGTAGAATAAAAAAATAAAAAGTATATATTAAAAAACTACATAAAAAATTCTACAAAACAAGTGGTGAGAAAGTTATTTTATTTTATCAAATGATCGATAAAAATGTTTAAAGAAAGTAGAGTTAGTTTGACGTGTGAATAGTAACTAGGAGTCTTTTTTTGAAGACAGAGGGAGTAGTTATTTACTCTCTTTTTTTGGATTTTTTCTTCTAAAGGAAAAATTGGGTTACTTTTGGGATTGATTTGTAATCACAAATCAGCCCATCTCACACTCTCTTCTCCAATGAAACTTAAAATCGACCACACACTATCATTCAACTCACCATCCCGTTATATTCAACTCTCAATCATTCACTATTGCAACAACTTGGAATAGTCAAGGGTGACATTTGCTCACCTATGATGGTGGGGATCTAATGGCTAAACAAAATCACTTGTAGGACCAAAATGACATATCCCTCCTTTTTAATTTGTTAAAATGTTTTTTTTGGTTTAAACTTGATAGTTTCTCGGTATGGTTGAGTTACAGAATTTCCAGTCCAGTGACCTGATATTGGATTATCTAATCTTGTAGGCCCGGATTAAGAAGATTATGCAAGCGGATGAAGATGTGGGAAAGATTGCTAATGCTGTACCCCTCTTAATGTGTACGTTTCTCTAAGTACCTAAACTAAAATGGTTTTTGTTCTCATTTTCTATAAATACTCCTTTGGGTGCTTTTTTAAAGGTGCAACTGGCGCATTATCAAAGGGTTATGGTCCTTTTCCTAAGGCATTGTTTTTCCTCTGAGGCATTTATAAAGTACTCTGTATTAGTGTATTCATCTATAAGGCATAATAATAGAGTGTAAAATTATAATATCATACGGAGTAATATATTGTTTAAAGAATTCAAGAAATTTACTACTTTTCTTCCTGTAATTTCATCAATTGTGCCTGCTAATAATCCAAATAGATTTTTATAACTCAATCTGTGATGCATATTTGGTCATGACACAACAGTTCATATGTTTTGCAGCAAAGGCTTTGGAGCTCTTTTTGCAAGATCTGTGTGATCGGACTTATGCTATTACACTTAAGAGGGGAGCAAAAACTTTGAATTCATTACATTTGTAAGTATCCTACATATTTTATGATATGTGTTTCTTGTATGTCATCTCTTTCTAAGAACTTTTTTTTTTAAAATTAATCTAACTCAATACTTCACATTTCAGGAAACAATGTGTACAAACTTTTAATGTGTTTGATTTCCTGAAGGATATAGTCAGCAGGGTTCCTGATTTAGGTGGTTCTGATACTGCAGTTGATGATAGATCTACCAGTAAAAGAAGGTCTCTTGAGATTCCTGTTTTTTCTTGATAATCTTATCATATCCGACGAGCCACGTGCCCACACTGTTTTGCCATACTCCGGCTGTAGAGCAAAAATAAAAGCTCAGCTGGGTATGATAAGGATGCTGCTTCGGTAGAAGAGCTTATAACTTATGGACACAGTTTTGCTTATTGCGATTTTTTTTCTTATGCAGGAAGATTGCTGAATCCGGGGATCATGACAGTGATGATGACATCCAACCCAATCCATTGGTAAACCAATCAACTCCCCCCCCCTCCCTTTGAAACTTGAAAGCAGATCTTGACACTGGAGTAGGGTGTCATATCATGACACCAAGACCCTATGGTGCTATGTTGGATCTCGAAGTTGTTCCTCCCTCCCCCCCCACCCCAATCACCCCAAAACTCTATGCCCCCCCCCAAAATGGTAGCAAATTGGGGTGTTGGGGGACAACTTCGGGCTCCAACGGAGCACGGTATGGGCCTCAATTGGCCGGTGTTATAATATGACACTAGAGTCCAATGTGAAAGAGAATAGGACCTTTGAAAGCAAATAGACAAACATTGTTCTTTAAAATTGTGGTTGCTTCTTTGGTTGCAGCACGAGACAGCACCTCCAAGTGGCAGTAGTGGGCGGGGGAGAGGTAGGGGTAGAGGTAGATGTCGTGGAAAAGGTCGGGCAGCAGAGAGAGAACAGACTACCAGTGTTTTAGGTGATGATGAAAAAAATGAATATGAAGCAGTCAAGAACCGGCAAAGGCCAGACCCGGGTTCAGAACCCACGGATCCAAACTCCGAGCCAGTTGGCCCACACATAGAACCGACCGTGAGAAATTTTGATCTTAATGTGGGTCCAAATGAGACGGACGATTCTTCAGGAGTGCCCGTTAAGCAGCGGGAGGATTATCCCGGATGGTCGAACGTGGAAGGTATGTCCATTGATCCTTTTGGACTTGCCCGTGATCTGATGGATCGGAATCAGGAAGCTGAGGAAGAAGACTATGATGAAGAAGGATAAACTGAACCACTAGTGGAATAAGAAAAAAAGCAAAGGTAGGAAAATAGTATATTGGTTGTGGTTGAGTATTTCATCTCTATGCAGATGTCTACTGCCCTGTTTGGATGAGTTGCTCTATGGAATTCAAACAAGGATGGCAACAATTAAAGGTTAGTTCAGATCTGTATTTATCAGCACCCTAGTGAAATCTTCAAATAAATAATGCCATTCAATGTTAACTTATTATAATCTTTATCATCATCATTGTCTATGATCCCATTTGACATTAGCTTTAGAATTTTGAAAATGATATCCAACGGTAGCTTTTAGTGTTAGTGTTTTAAAAATTAATCTGTATCATTAAAAAAATTATCCAAAATGCTAACTTTAATCACAAGCGTTGTTTGTTACCCAACTCCCTACCCCATTTCACACTATTTTCCATTTAAGGTATGTTTGGTTGAAATTTGAAAGGGGGGGGGGTATGTTTTTCGGTTTTTTAAATGTAAAAATCGTGCTTTTTTTGCTTGACTTAAGACAATGTGTTATGGCGAGTTTGATGAAGGCTTGATGGGGTGTCACATACGTGCCCCATAAGAGTGAGTAAAATACTAATACCCCGGAGTAGAATTTAAAGGGGGCTTGGGGTGGGGGTGAAATTACTCTGTGGGGGGGGGGGGATCGTAAGCGTTAATTTTACGCTCTAAATTTTAAAATTTAGATATAAGATCAACATTTTACTACTTACCTAATTCCAAATTTCATTAATAGGTTTTGATTACCAGTTTTTAAGTTGTCAACTTTCAATTACAAGTCTTAAATAAAAAATTTGCTTAATTTTTTAATAGGATAATTAATTTGGATGTCAACTTCCAATTTTCGGAATTTCTGTCTCATTATTTAGGGTTGTGCTACGATCATATCTGTATTATAACACGTCAAGTGACGCTTTTGACATGGAGATTAAGAAATTGGTTGAATTCCAAGTTGAGATTAACTTAAAATAATGAAAAAATTGATTATGAGTCATGCTTTTTCTCAAATAAGATAGAAATATATTTCGTCTTCTAAATAATTGGAGTAAATTAGAATCACATTTTTTAATTTCAATTTGGATTTTTCGGTGCTCATTAAAAAAAATCGGCGCATATGATTTTGAAAACAAAACGGTATGGTTCGAGAAATAATTTAGGAGGGACCGTTACCAAATACAAATCACAATGTTAAAAAAATCCCAATCTTATCATTACTATTTTCGTCAGCAAATTATTTTCTCGTTGTGAATTATTTTTGACTAAAATTATTTTCAATCAATTCATTTGAAACTCAGCATGTAATTAAAAAAATAAAAAATTACTTCGTATATTCAATATTTAAAAATGATGAAGTGTACAAACTTTTTACGAAACAAAATGTGATGTGATCACACTCTCTTCGTCTCAAATTAAAAGTGCACATTTGATTAACACAAAATTAAAGAAAAAAGTGAAATTTTGTAATCGAAAGTGATACAAAAAATAGAAAGAACGCGAGGCACGATAATATACTACTCCCTCCGTTCCATTTTAAATTATCTGTTTTCATTTTTTGTCCGTCCTAAAATAAGTTGCATGTTTCTTATAATGATACTCCGTAAATTTTTAAGGATAAGATACCTAAATCACCCCTAAAAAAGTCACTCTTCTTCACCTTATCTTCTCATTCATCACCACCCCCGTAAAAAAGTACGTAGTAAGACATTTTTAAAAAAACCAACACCACTTTTTTCCTTCGTTAACTATGTCACAAAGTCAAAATATGCAATATAAAATGATACGGAGGAAGTAGTATTAAACAATGAGAGGAGAACTACTTTTTTGAATAGCTGAAAAAAGAAATAAGGACTATTATTATTTTAGAACAAGAGTATTACTTTGTATTTTAGTAAGTATGAAGTAAGTGATGAAAATAGACGATTAAATAAACGAAAATATTTGGGGATCTCAAACATTTGACCCCAAGTACACACAAAGTAAGGATAAATTTCACAAATGGTACCTGAACTTTAGCTGGAATTTCGAAGTGGTACCTGAACTTCAAATCCTTTCACAGAAATCCCTGAACTTACACAATCCTTTCACTAATGAGCCGTTAGCCCGTTTCTAGGTTAACTTCCGGTCATTAGGGTCAAATTCGAATTTTATATATTTTAAAATTTTCAATTTGACCCCATTTCTTCTTTTCTTTTCTTCCACGCCCCGCCGCCCGCCGGTCAAAGTCGCCGGAAAATGAACTTTTTCCGATTCCGGCGGGACCAATGTCATTCTCTTCGTCTTGAGACGAGGATCAATAATATCCAAACCATTTTGTCTAATTTGGCCTGTAACTTCTCGAATCTGAATTTTTGTACTCGAAAAAACCCTAAAATTCGAAATTGGGTCCAAAATTGGGGGTTTTGCAAATCTTCATCAAATCTTGCAATTGAGGGGTCCTTGGAGGTCGCCCGGATGCCACGACCGCATTGGAGTTGGTGCCCGCCGTCAATTTCGCCGGATTTAGCCGGAAAACGCTCCGACCCGCCGGAACCACCGGAAGTTAACCTAGAAACGGGCTAATGGCTCATTAGTGAAAGGATTGTGTAAGTTCATGGATTTTTGTGAAAGGATTTGAAGTTCAGGTACCACTTCGAAATTTCAGCTAAAGTTCAGGTATCATTTGTGAAATTACCCCACAAAGTAAACAAGGGCACAAAAATTCAATTTGCATGTTTGAGAATGTCATAGATTTAACTTTTCGAAAATGCTATCTATGTGTAGCGTTTAATATTTTCAAAGTTAATGTGCACCATTAAAAATTTATCTAAATCATTAACGCTAATCGAAAACGTTATTTACAACAGATGTCTCTCCTCTTTATGGCATCACCCTTAAATAAATAAAATTTGAACATTATTTGTGGACTAAAAGCCGAGGGAGTACAGATTTATTAAGGGGGTGTTTGTTTTTTTTGCATGAAAAGGTCTGCAGTCTGTGGACCACTACTGTAGACATCTGCAGGAGAAGTGGTGGACCGAAGGTCTGCGGTCTGCAAGAAGAAGACTGTTTGTTTTTTAATGTCTGTAGATTGCTATATACATTAATGGTGGTAGTGTACGGTGGTGGTGTATGGACGATTGTGGTGGTGGTGGAGGGTGGTGGTGAAGGGTGGTGGTGGACGTTGACGGCGGCGGCGGTGGACGGTGGTGGCGGCGGCAGTGGATGGTGGCGGTGGTGGTGGACGGTGGTGGACGGTGGTAGTGGTGGACGGTGGCGGTGGTGGTGGACGACGGTGGAAGGTGGTGGTGGTGAAGAGAAGTAGAAGAAAAAAATGGAGAAGATGTTAGAAGACATATGTAAATGTCTTCTCCAAGAAGATGTCAGGAAGACCTTTTTAAGTGAAATGTCTTCCAAAAAACAAACAAATATGTAGAGCTCAACATCGAGCACAAAAGAGACCAGAAGCTCTAGCCAAAAAACAAACATCCCTAAATTTACTTTTACCAGTCATCGGCGGGGAAGAAAATTGGCAGCTGATTCTAGCTATGGACTCTCCGTCATCGGCGGCGGCGAAGAAGGACGTGAAAACGCTAGTTTCACTGTACTCCAACTATCTATGGAGCAGTGTGCGTAACTTACTGCCTGCTACTTCATCTGTTTACCCTTCGAGCCTGCTCGCCGGTATTTCGAATATCTATGGCGGCGGCGGCACTGCCGCCCACTCCACCAGGCGCCGCCGCAGAAAGACGTGCCTTCCACTTCCTCTGCCTAATCCCGCCTCAGTCCGATCTTCCTCATCGTAAACTTCCGATCTCTCGTTATATTCACGTTCTACGTTGTGCCAATAACAATGTGTTTCATTTGATTGGTGAACCTTCCAAGGAATTTCGAATTTTGATATTCTGAATTCGTGTTTAACTTGTTATGATGATTAAATTTTTTACGTGCATAACTAAATGGCATGACTTTGTTATTTAATTTTCAGTTTTGATACTTCGTCCATGTTCAATGGAGCTAAAAGAATCATTTTTTTGACAATGCTTTAGCTTCAGATAAATAATGGACTGAATCAAAATGGAACATTAAACCTCCTTTGTTTACAGTTTACTGTAGTTCTTTCTATGAAGTTTTGGGTAGTAAATGCAACTATGGATCAAGGGTTAAAGGAAAACCTCTATGTTTTTACACCGGTACGTTTGGTTTCATCTTGACCCATGTTGGAATTATACTGGATTTGTTGTTGCTGCTGTTGTTATTTTCAACTTTGATACAAAGTGGTATGGGAATTATACTGTGGTGACTTATTTTATCACTGGGACCTTCTGTTCTCTTGGGAATTATTATGTGCTTTCAGTCAGCACAAAGTAAATGGTAAAAACGGCTTGAATGGTAAATAGTAATGAGCTTTTTCTTTCACGCTAGAAAAGTCAGACGCCTCTCCGGTTTTATGGGGTTCATTTTTGCTTGATAGATTTCTTGAAGAAACAGATATTGTACATTAAAAGAACTTTTCAAGAGATGCATATTGCTTCAAATGTGCAGGGATGCATCTGAAGCGTCCAGAATTGTTTATGTGCTGGAGGATATCATAGAACACATTTTCCTAAATTTGCACTACATCCAGAAGAACTTGGAATTCTGGCAATCTAAAGCTGAGGTCAGGGAATAACATTTTATTATTGTATACTTCCTCTGTTTCACAATGAAATTTTTGATTTGACTTCCCAGAGTCTAAGAATACTGTTGAAAAGTAAAAAGCATGTGGCATAAACTCGTTTGGAAGAGACTCAAGTGATGTGAGCCACATAATGCTTTCTTTAGATGGAAAGTTATGATGTGTAAACAATATCCCAAAGAGGGTTATACAATATTCATTTTGGGATGAAATGAGTATATTTCCATATGCAATTGATTTTCCCCAACAATTTTGATCAATGAAGTGTTGTGTTTGCCTATCACTTTCAGGAGTCGAATGCTCGACAAGCATACTTTATGATATGTGAGAGAGGTCCACGTGCATTTTTTAATGGAACAATTCAACTGATACGTGATTGTGTTAGTGATGAGTTTGGGAAACAACACACATATGGTCTGGCATCCTCTTTTATAGCGGAGAGAATAACTGTGTTGAGCAGTTTAAGATGTTGTTTGGCTACATTTCTTGCTCAGGTTATTTTCTCCCATGTAGAATATAACTTGAATTATGCATATATGTGTCTACGCTATTTTTTTGGTTAATTATTTTTTCAAGCATTTGAATTAATATTCGGTATTAGCATTCTTTACCCTCATGCTATTGAATAAGACATATGTCTGAAAATG